TGGAGTGCGGGCGGGGGGGGGGGGGGGGGGGGCAGTTCTCAGGGCAGCGCTTGTAAGAAACCAGCAGGGGCAGCTACGCTTGCTGTCTGGGCCACGGTGTGCGGCCCCCGAGCCGTGCTGTGATCGAAGCCCAGCTGTGGCCGGGTTCAAACTCTCTCCACTGCGGTGGACCTGCCTAGTATCTAGCAAGTCTAAGCACAATGCTGAGGGAAGTGCGAAGGAGCAGATCCGGAGCAGATTCTTCCTCCTGGCGGCCGCGCCTGAGGCATTGTGGGGCCGCGCAGGCTAGGAAAGCCAGGGCAACCCTGCTGTGCGGATGGTCATCGAAGCCCAGCTGTGGCCGGGTTCAAACTCTCTCCACTGCGGTGGACCTGCCTAGTATCTAGCAAGTCTAAGCACAATGCTGAGGGAAGTGCGAAGGAGCAGATCCGGAGCAGATTCTTCCTCCTGGCGGCCGCGCCTGAGGCATTGTGGGGCCGCGCAGGCTAGGAAAGCCAGGGCAACCCTGCTGTGCGGATGGTCCTTTCAGCCCAGCCTCCCCACCATCTCCGGTGTGGGGGAGGAAAGGGACTAAGTGCTGAACTGGGCTCGTGAGCTGTTGGGCCCACCAGGACGGCAGGGGCAAGCCGAGGACACAGGCTCCCAAGCCACGGCTGTAACCACTGCCCCATGTGTCTCTTCCAGTGGCATCCGACTTCATCATGTCTGCTACCGAAAATGCTGCAGCCCCCCCTGCCCAGGGCGAGGAGCCAGATCAGCCCCCGCAGGTAGGCTGCCGGGTGTGTCCCCGCACGGATGGAACCTCGGGTGGGGCCCTGGTGTGCTCAGGCCAGGCCCTTGCTAGCCAGGCCGGCAGTGGCGCTGTTGCGGGGGGGGTTCACCACTACAGGGGATCCGGTCTTGGGAGGTGCCAGGGAGACCCATACCCTGCTAATGAAGGTAGCTGGCTGCCCCCCAGCTGGCCAGCACCCTACAGGTACTTGCTGTAGTGGCAAGCCCAGATTGGGTGCCATTCGACTCGCTTTAATCTGCTTGGGTATGGGTCTGTGCTGCCAAACCCTATGAGCAAAGCTTAACCTCCGCTCCAAGAAGCCTGTTCGTCTTCAGGTGTCCTCAGCAGCCACTGAAGTCATGGGAGGTGCAGGAGCTCGGCAGTCTTAGACAAGCCGCCTGTATGCCTAGATGCCCCGCTCCAGAGCTGGTGATGTCCCTGGTGGCTAGAGCACAGAAGGGCCTGTTGGGTTGCTCCAGCTCTTGGTGCGACCAGTTCTAAGTGACAAGGATTCAGCCTCGGAGTCCCAGAGCCAGCCCTTCCCAGTGGCCGCGGCCGCTTTTAACTGTATTTTGGCCGTCTCTTAGAACGTAGTGAGCAGGGTGGCCAACCTGCCCTTGGTCAGCTCCACCTACGACATGGTCTCCACGGCCTACGCCTCCACCAAGGAGAACCACCCGTACATCCGGTCGGTCTGCGACGCAGCGGAGAAGGGTGTGAAGACCATCACTGCCGCGGCCGTCGGGAGCGCCCAGCCCATCCTGACCAAACTGGAGCCGCAGAGTGAGTGTGCAATCAGACAGTGGCCTGGGGTCCAGCTGTGAGGCCCAGGGGAGCTGGAGTAACTAGTGGCCCGTCCCTAGGTGGGAGACCAAAGCTGGGTCGCTTCTCCCCGTGAGCCACCTCCAGAGAGGCCTGGCAGCAGAGTGAGCGCTGGGAGACAGAACCTTCCACCTGAGACATCCCCGAAGGGCGTTCTCTCCCCAGTCAGAAGGGCTGTTGTGGTCCCACCCAGCGGGTGAGGTGCCAGAACTACCCTGGATCTTGGTCTCCTTAAAGCCTCCTTAGCTGTTCTGCCACAGAATCCTCGGCCTCCCGGGTGCACTGTGACGTGCGACCGCCGTGCTCGCGTGACCCTAGAGAAGCCACAATCGGAAGCACTGAATTACAGTTCGCCTTAGTGCAGCCTCTCCTACTCATTCGAGGGGTGGGGCGGAGGTGGCCCGGAACCCGCTGGGCAGCCAGAAACGAGGCAGGACTCTGAGTGGCCCCCGAAGCCAGGCAGCGCAGCGCTGGCGGGTGCAGGGCCCCTTCTCGGATGCCCTTGCTAAGATCCGCAGCTCTGGGAGATCACCCCTCCCCAAGGCAGGGCACGTCCCCGCGCTCTGCACCATGTTCTTAGCTGCTTCAGATCTCCCTGCGGCCTTGAGTCGCTCTGGCAGCTGCAAGGGGGCCCCTTAGCCTGGATCTTGCAAAGAGGTTGGGAACGGAGGCTGGCTCTGAACAATGAACTGGTGTCCCCTCAGACCTGGCAAAGGAAGGTGGACCTGGGGGGGGGGGGGGGGGGGGGCCGGGAGCCTCTCTGGGGCCTGTCTGAGGTGCTGGTAGGGTTGCCAGGTGTCTAGTTTTGAACCAGACAGTCCGGTATTTGAGCTTTCTGTCCAGGAAATGGAGAAAATACTGGACATTTATATTATCATGAGTATCAGTACATAGCTGTGTACTGCCTGGCTGGTAGACATACGACCTGGGGGGGGGGGGGGGGGGGGGCCGGGAGCCTCTCTGGGGCCTGTCTGAGGTGCTGGTAGGGTTGCCAGGTGTCTAGTTTTGAACCAGACAGTCCGGTATTTGAGCTTTCTGTCCAGGAAATGGAGAAAATACTGGACATTTATATTATCATGAGTATCAGTACATAGCTGTGTACTGCCTGGCTGGTAGACATACTCACACTGCGTGAGTGCATCTTCCAGCCAGGCGGTACGCAACTACATAGCACAGAGGGGGGGCAGGATGGAATCCCTGGGGCTGGACCTGCCTGGATGGGCAGTACCCCAGAAACTGCATGCTCCCAGCCAGCCCTGCTTCCTCCCCCCCCCCAGGCCTCCCTTTCTTCCCCCTACCTTCTC